TTAAAGAAAAATTTTCCATTGGCTGTTACCCACCCCCATTCTCTCTGTGGACCTCAGCCAAGATGGAGTATGCCTTCAGGCTAATTTCACTTCCTTGTGGAGGAACTGGGCTTGTAACTAACACATGGATGTATCCATTGCACAAGCATGGTCCTCATATGGATGACCGTTTTCTTCCATATTCACAGGAGAGACTACAGTGTTGACGACCTCCACAGCGCCAGTAGCTTCGACATTGGAGGCATCCCGTATAGCGGAGACAACCTCCACAGAGGAGACAACTGCCGCAGCACCAATGACCTCTGTAGCACAGACGACTATCACAACACCAATAACCCTCCCAGTGGACATGAGGTTCCCTTTGGAGACAATCACAACAGCATTAACCAGCCCCACAGTGGACACAACACTCTTAGCAGACACAACCACCACACCACCAACAACCTCCCTAGCAGAGACAACCACCACAGCAACAACGGCTACCACAGAAGAGGGGAGCACACCAGGTAACCCTGTCCACTGTCAGCTCACTAATGTCCTTCATGTCCCTGATGTCCGTCCCAGATCTGATTGCACTAGAGGCAGTCTCCCATCCCTGGGCCACTCAGGTTAGGCCATTCCTGGCACCCAAGTGCACAGTGAAGATGCAAGCAGAGCAAGGAGGATAGCTGGTAAACCTGGGGACTTAGGGCTGGGATCTCTGTAGCCATTGCTGATGAAGGAAACTTTTCAGGGAGGGATTTCCTTTCACTGCAAATGGGGGGGATTGCAACGGGGGATCATTCTGCCTTTGCCCATTCGGTTCCTGCATGGGTGGTACCATAGCTATTTCCTACACATGCTCTGGGAGTTGGGATTTGACTGGAAGAGACAAAGGTGCTGCACCAAACATTTCGTATTGCAAGTTAGACTTCCATGGGCATGTGGTACCTCCAGAGAGAAGACGTGGCTGTATGAAACAGAGAAGTCACAATGGTCTTTTCAATTAAAGACCTCTACATTACATGAAGTGCCATAGGACAGGGGCTCCATGAACACAGGCTACTTCAAGGTGCATGACACGCAGTTACTGTGTTCAGAGCATTTTTCATTGACACCAAACTCTTACTTGCATCCGTAGCTCCAGTGTCCATATCACACTGGCCTTATTCAACAGGTAATTGATGCTACCAGACCCTTCCCTGGCCTGACAGCAACCATGCAGGCTCCCTTCTGGAGGGGCCCTTCTGGGGACTACAGGGTTCATACTCTCTTTTTCCTTGCAGCTCCACATCCAACATCTCCTGCTGAGCAGCTGGACACAGAAGGTAATTCGTGCCCCACCAGCCTGTTCCCAGCCTTGCAACAAGCCCCAGCCCAGCACAAGAGGAATGCAGCAGGGACGGGCTGGCCTGAGTGTGCCCGGCACATGGCTGCTGCTCCCCTATGTCATGACATCTCCTGGGTGCATGAGTGGTTCCCGTCAGGGGATGGGTGACTCTCAAAGTGCACAAAAGGGTTTTCTGCACATTCCCCAGGGCCCCAGGCACCAGCAGATCCCACCAGGTGCCTTTCAGTGCCCTCCCCTGGGAGCGGCCATACTTACCTCCCTCGGCAGAGCTGGGGAACAGAGGTGAGCTTGGGGACCTTTGCTGCCTGATGCTGGAAGCATGGGTAATACAAAAGCCCCAGTTTTGCACGCGGAGGGCACAGCAGGCTCTCCACACTTGCAGGAGTAGATGCTTGGCATGGTGGCAAAGAGCAGGGTTGCAGGATCACGGCAGGGTATCACTGGGGATACATCAGGCTGGTGTCTGCTTGAGGGGTGGCAGGAAAAAGACCCACACTCTTGATACCCATTAGTGCTATAGTCATACTTTTCCATGGCCATCGCCATGAGCCTGCTGCATTCGTCACCCTTTCATTCACACTCTCTTCTTCCTTGCAGCTCCACATCCAACATCTCCTGCTGAGCAGCTGGACACAGAAGGTAATTCGTGCCCCACCAGCCTGTTCCCAGCCTTGCAACAAGCCCCAGCCCAGCACAAGAGGAATGCAGCAGGGACGGGCTGGCCTGAGTGTGCCTGACACATTGCTGCTGATCCCCTCTGTCATGACATCTCCTGGGTGCATGAGTGGTTCCCGTCAGGGGATGGGTGACTCTCAAAGTGCACAAAAGGGTTTTCTGCACATTCCCCAGGGCCCCAGGCACCAGCAGATCCCACCAGGTGCCTTTCAGTGCCCTCCCCTGGGAGCGGCCATACTTACCTCCCTCGGCAGAGCTGGGGAACAGAGGTGAGCTTGGGGACCTTTGCTGCCTGATGCTGGAAGCATGGGTAATACAAAAGCCCCAGTTTTGCACGCGGAGGGCACAGCAGGCTCTCCACACTTGCAGGAGTAGATGCTTGGCATGGTGGCAAAGAGCAGGGTTGCAGGATCACGGCAGGGTATCACTGGGGATACATCAGGCTGGTGTCTGCTTGAGGGGTGGCAGGAAAAAGACCCACACTCTTGATACCCATTAGTGCTATAGTCATACTTTTCCATGGCCATCGCCATGAGCCTGCTGCATTCGTCACCCTTTCATTCACACTCTCTTCTTCCTTGCAGCTCGCGTGGGCTGCGGCCCCCCCACAGCCGCCCCGGTCAGCGCGCTTTTTGGCCCTGGTTCCGGGCCCATCTTCCTGGACGACGTGCGGTGCCTGGGGGATGAGACCTCCCTCCAGACGTGCAGCCACCGTGGCTGGGGCGTGCACAACTGCAGGCACTGGGAGGACGCCAGCGTCATCTGTGCAGGTGCGTGGGCAACAGAGGCCAACGGCTCTGCTGCAGATCCCACTGGGCACCTTTCATTGCCCTCCCCTGGGAGCAGCCGTACTTACCTCCCTCAGCAGAGCTGGGCAACAGAGGTGGGCTTGGGGACCTTTGCTGCCTGGTCCTGGAAGCACGGGTCATATAAAAGCCCCAATTCTGCACACGGAGGGCACAGGAGGTTCTCCACACTTGCAGGAGTAGATGCTTGGTGTGGTGGCAAAGAGCAGGGTTGCGGGATCACAGCATGGGAAGGCTGGGGCAACACTGCGGACACTTTAGGCTGGTGTC